CTATATATATTCATGTATATATATCTATATATATTCATGTATATATGTATGTCTGTATTTATGTATGTATACTTGTATGTATTCATGTATGTATGTATATATGCATACAGGTGTGTATGTCTATATGTTGTATGTGTATATTTATATATATATATATATATATATATATATTATACCCGTGCATATATCTATACAATATAAATATGCGCATCTCACTTTGTCCATTCCCGAATGCTGTACCCTAACCCATACCAGGAAAAGGCCACCAGATTAGCGCTGAAAAGCAATCGGCTGTACAAGTCAGATGTAGCTCAAGCCCTGCTGAACGCACTGGGAGTGACAGAGCACGATGACCAGAGGGCCACAGCCTCGCCCACGGCCACAGATCAGACGGACACCACACAGACACAGTCGGATGGTGACGAGGAGGTGGAGAATGCTGGGTTCAAAAACCAAGGTATGTGTACTTGTGAGCAGGAGCTAGAACGGACTTCTTGATCATATATAGTCCTAAACCCTAAACCCTAAACCCTAAAATCTAACGACCTTTCCTATGCTCAGCGCAAGACACTTCCAGTGCCTGGAACTCGTACGGTCCCACACCCACACCCCAAACGCATGAGGCTGACAATTGGTGGGAAGCGCCCGCTGTGCCCAATAGTGGGATACCTACCAGAATGAGCAAACCGACCAAACCCACACCACCGGTACGGCATACTGAATTGGCTGTTGTATTGTGCTACCGCTCTCACGCGGTAGTGTTGTGTGTGTGGATATTCGTGGGTCCTAGTTTTCAGTTTACGCCACTCATGCATACGTTCATTTAGATAAAAAAGCTTTATTCTCATATATTTACATTTGCTTATGCCTATGTTTTATCTTCGTGTGCATAGATATGCTCATGCATACGTTTATTTTGATGTAAAGGTTTTATTCTCATATCTTAAGATATGCTTATGCCTATGTTTATCCTCATGTACATAGATATGCTCATGCATACGTTCATTTTGATGTAAAAACTTTATTCTCATATATTTGGATATGCTCATGCCTATGTTTATCCTCATGTACATAGATAGGCTTATGCCTATGTTTATCCTCATGTACATAGATATGCTCATGCATACGTTCATTTTGATGTAAAAGCTTTATTCTCATATACTTAAATATGCTTATACCTATGTTTATCCTCATGTACATAGATATGCTCATACATACACGTTCATCTTGATGTAAAAGCTTTATTCTCATATATTTAAATATACTTATACCCATGTTTATCCTCATGTACATAGATATGCTCATGCATACGTTCATTTTGATGTAAAAGCTTTATTCTCATATATTTAGATATGCTTATGCCTATGTTTATCCTCATGTACATAGATATGCTCATGCATACGTTCATTTTGATGTAAAAGCTTTATTCTCATATATTTAGATATGCTTATGTCTATGTTTATCCTTATGTACATAGATATGCTCATGCATACGTTCATTTGATGTGAAAGCTTTATTCTCATAAATTTAGATATGCTTACGCCTATGTTTATCCTCCTGTATATAGATATGCTCATGCGTACGTTTTTTTACATGTAAAATTTTTATTCTCATATATTTCGATATGTTTATCCCAATGTTTAATCTCAAGTATATAGATATGCTCATACATACGTTTATTTTGATGTAAAATGTTTATTCTCATGTATTTAGATATGCTTATGCCTATGTTAACCCTCATGCATATGGATATGCTCACGCATACGTTTATTTAGATGTAAAATGTTCTCATATATTGAGATATGCTTATGCCTATGTTTATCCTCATGTATATAGATATGCTCTTACATACGTTTATTTTGATGTAAAATGTTTATTCTCATATATGTAGATATACTTTCGCCTATGTTTATCCTCATGTATATAGATATCCTCATGCATACGCTTTTCCTCATGTATACACACAGAGCCCTAGCACACCCTCCAGTAAACCTCCGAGCAGTCCCGCAACAAGCGCCCCTTCCTCAAGAAGTGCATCACGCGATGAATTCGAAAGTCGAAGTGAGTCTAATTATAGCACAGTCTTGGCTTTTCAATGCCTGGGTTCGGAGGCTGGAGTGGTGGGATATATATTTTTGTTTGAGCTGGAATTCGCTGGTGGTTCTATATTAGTGCGAACGTGCAGAATACTCAGACATTTCGCAGTAATGGAAGGTTTATTACGCAAGTTTATTATTCAAGTTTTAGTTTCTGTTCGTCACATTGGAAGTCGAGAATATGTAATGTGTTGCTTTTGTGCAATGAAATGGACTGTGTGCTTGGCCTGGAGTGCATGTGAAAGCGTACATTTTATTTACCAGTCAAATCTCCAACCATTTCCTGCAAGTATAAAGCTTTAGGGTTTAGGTTTTTCAATTCTCTGTTGGCTGGGGTGCAAGAATGGATGTTCATGCTCTTTAGGATAGACTATGACTATCTCCAATTATCTTCAATTGTCCCCAATTGTCTCCAATTCATCTCCAATTGTCTTCAATTCATCTCCAATTGTCTCCAATTCATCTCCAATTCATCTCCAATTGTCTGTATCTGATCATCTATTTCCTGGAATGGCCCAAAGATAAACCGAGTACGCCAAAGCCGGTGCGCAAACCGCCGCCTCGCAGCCCTCGTGTGAGTGTGGGGTCACAGGACGCGTTTGAATCTGGCAAAGGTACGTATGATCGGGTGAATGAGAGACGGGGTGTGGAGGCTGGTGGCATGGGCTTTTTAAGGGGGATTTATACATGTATATAAATGTACGTGTGTGCGTATGTATGTAAGGTTTGTATTTGAAATACGCGTGTCTATTTATATCCGCGCACGCGTGCTTTCAAATTTGCTTCGGCATAAGTTGCATTCGGTGGCTGTTTTCGTGCATGGGTGGATTCAGCTACAGCTGCAATGCCTACTACCTACTCTCAAGTACGTGCCCAACTACTAGATCTTGGTTAACAAGCACCTACCGGGGTACCAATATGCCTT